AAGGAAAATAGATACTTAATTTTTGGTACCTTGATTTATATATAGGTGAATAGTATATGATATCTGGTATGATGATGCGATCATTTTTTTGTTGTTATCCAATTTGATTATAAAATATAAAAATAGAGAGTTCTAACTATATATTTTTTGGTACCCAGGTTTTTATATAGGTAGTAAAGATTTTTTATAAAATATAGGCTTCTTAAGCAATCTAAAAAGCAAAATGAATAAAATGTACCAAAAAAGTGACCCAGAACTCCCCTTTTCGCCCTACTTATACATATTATTTGTTTCTCTATAGGCTTCTATTTCTTGTACAATCATCAGATCAGTAAAATCATATACTAATTCATTAATTTCATTCTCTTCTTCTTCCAATAATTGTAAATAGATGTTCTGAGTAAGTTCAACTTCAACATTCCACCATTGGTAAAATATCTGTCTTCCTCCAACAATTCACTATGATCGATTCATCTACTTCATCTCATAATGCTACTATATACTCAATGGCCTCTTTGATATTTAATTTATTACTTTAAAAAAATAAATAAATAAATAAAATAAAAAAGGTTATAAAAATTACATTAATTAATTTTACATAATAATATTAGCTTACTTGGGATCTTGAACATCTAAACCTCTTTCAAATTGGTATAATATATGCTGAATATATTTTCTTTGATATTTTGCTTTGAAACATCTAATAATACCCACATCCATGGGTTGAAGTTGTGAAGTAGTAAGAGAAGGCAAAAATACAATTCAAATATTTGTAAAGTGATAATTAGATAAATCAGGAATTGTATATACACTTCCACGACCTCTACCATGTTTGTCTTTACTTTGTTGCTTATTTCGTTGGCTAACTGGAATAGTGTTATATATTCTTGGATGATCACGATGACGACCATAACCACGCCCATGATTATTTGATCTAATTGAAGTTGATTCTTCAGAACCGCTATTAGGAGACTCCTCATTAGATGAATTATACGAATTATTTGAATTATCTGAATTATCTGAATTTGGGTCAAAATGGCTTGATGCATTATCAAGTATGAGCAAAATTTTCTGGTCTTTAACTCGAAATTGAGAGTCGAGATCCTTCAACCACTCTGCAAATATGTCAGTTCACATCCATGCTTTAAGGTTAGCACGATATGTAACAGGCAAGGTTGCATGATTTATATGAGCTAATGCTTGTGGCTTAATAGAAGTTCCGATTACAAGGGGCTTTAGTTTTTCAGTTTCAGTTGAATTAGAAGCTAATAAAACAGTAATACGAGTACGATCCTAAATTTATTAATAAATTAAAAATAAATAAAGTAAATGGTCAGATCTGAACAGAATATCTAGACCGTTAATATGTAATAATATTATGAGTAGTTGAGTATAAGTGAAAATTTCATTTCTTCTTATACACTTTAAAGATAGATAACTAATAAGAAAATTATGTATGTATAGTAATATAGGCCTACACTGCAGTAAGTAATAGTTAGATAGGTAATTTATAATGAGAGTTACAGTGATAATTTGTATACTCGAAAGAGTATAGTATCCAGGGTATAACTGATTTATATCTTGTGATCTTGATATAGTGACCAGGGTATAATAATAATAATTTTACTTCCTTTTTTCCATCTGAGATGAGAATGGGTAGCCAAAGTTTGATTTAATGATAAACAAAAGAACAATCCTGTTTTGTTTGCATTAAATATATTATTCAATGCATACTCTTGAATGATACTTTGTAGATTACGTCAGGATTCTGAAAAAATATCAGTTGGCACGCTGCCAGCTTTTTCATATAGCTGAAAATTTTGTAAATTATTACGTTTTTTAAACTGTCTTATCCAGCCATTAGAAAACTTTAATTCATTCTCAGGTAATGAAAGTTCTTTGACAAAATATATAGCCTTTTCTTTAATAATCGCTTTAGTTAAAAACAAACCACTATTGATAATTTGTTCAACCCACAGCTTCATGGCTTAATCTAATATAGGGAACTTTACTTGTCTATTCCGAAATGTATTAGAGGTAGCTTGGTCTTCAATAACAGCTAACCACTTATCTTTTTTTTTTAGAATTTTTGAGATAGTTGAATGATTAAGGTTTCGTTTTTGATCTAGTGCATTAAAACGCTCAGCAATTTGTATTTGTGTTTTATGAGGATTTTGTAAATGGTATCGACAGATAGCATTTTTTAGGCTAAAACTAATTGCCGTATATGTTTTTTTGATAGAAACTTGATTAGACATGCTGTAAGAATTAACTGTGTCAATATTGGGGATAGTTAAATTTAGTCAAATAATAAGATCAATTTTATGTTGAGATGCCTTCTTATTTATATATATAAAGCATTAGGTTGTCGCAAAGGCTTTGCGAAATCAATTCTTACTTAATACTTAATTTATTGAGCCTTTTACTCGATTATTTGATAATCCAAATATAAGTAAAGCTATAGAAACTTTATTTATAAAATTTCAAAGCTTTAGTTTAGTATCAGTCATATCAATAATTTAATCTGCTTGGCTAGAAAAACTATAGCCAAAGCTCATGCCATGGTATTGGTATTACACTTAAGCCACAGCTTCTATATTAGAATTTTCAAGCCGGTTACCCGGCTTGAAGCTAATTGTGTTTTAGCTCTAAGCCACAGATCAATGCTAAAGCTTTAACAAGCTTTAACAAGATCAAACTGAAAACGTAAGTGCTATCCGTTAAAAAAAAAAAAAAAAAATAGTAAACAAAAAGAATAAACTTTCTATATTAAAATATTCAAGCCGGTTACCTGGCTTGAAGCTAATTGTGTATTAGCTCTAAGCCATGAATCAATATTAAAGCTTTAACAAGCTTTAACAAATCAAACTGAAAATGTAAGCAGTGATATAAATTGGGTTCATGCAGTAGGCGCAGCGTACATAGATTTAAATTTGTGCATATAATAGTACTCTCCGTATATATAGCGCGCATATAAATTTTTTTTTTTGTGCACATTTTTTTACATTTGCGCGAATAAAATTTTTTTGAATTTATAACACTGAACGTAAGTACTATTTGTTAAAAAAAAAAAAAAAAAAAAAATAGCAAAAACAAAATAAACTTTTTATATTAAAATATTCAAGCCGATTACCCAGCTTGAAGCTAATTGTGTCTTAGCTCTAAGCCATGGATCAATGCTAAAGCTTTAATAAGCTTTAACAGATTAAACTGAAAATGTAAATGCTATCCATTAAAAAAAAAAAAAAAAAAAATAGAATAAACTTTCTATATTAAAATATTCAAGCCGGTTACCTAGCTTGAAGCTAATTGTGTCTTAGCTCTAAGCCATGGATCAATGCTAAGCTTTAACAAGCTTTAACAAGATCAAACTGAAAACGTAAGTGCTATTCATTAAAAAACAGAATAAACTTTCTATATCAGAATATTCAAGCCAGTTACTTGGCTTGAAGCTAATTGTATCTTGATTCTAAGCTATGGATATATACTAAAGCTTTAACAAGATCAAAAAAAAGAAAAAAAAAATAGCAAAAAGCAGGATAAATTATTTTAAAAAAGTGAATTTACTTTACAGACCATATAAGCCAGCAAAAAATTATTTTATCAGACTCTCACAAGCTCCTAGCTTGAACAAAAGCCATGGTTAGAGCCAATAATATCTATCCTTATTTTAATAAACATATTTAAAATTTTATTTGATAAGTATATGGTGGTAGTAATACTGTATATTAAAATAGAATCTCAATAAGTTTAGATTCCACTTAAGTAGCTTCGAAATGAGCCAATCTAGTATCGCCCATAAAAATGTAGCTAACGTTACTTACTATCACATAATTACGACATTTAACTTTTCTTCCATATATTATTTATAAAGATTTTAATATTAACAATATGGATAGAAAAAACTTGTGGTTCATATATACGAAGCAAAATGTGAAAATTATGTGATAAAAAATGGTTTCATACTTAATAGTGATGATGATAAAGAAAATTCGAATGAACAAATTTTTATAGGCAATACTAGGTTGGTTCTTCGAAATGTACTTTAATTTTTATATCAAAATTTAGTATATGGCATACTTAGCAAGAAAAATTGCTTTAGAATTCCCAAAAAGATTTGTGTTAGTAGGAAAGCTTAAAAGTGAAGTGAACAATTTATATCTTGTTTACATGCATTCATGTGACAATCGATCACTGAATAGACTTTATTAATTTATTTGTTTAAGAATAAACTTTTATTGTTTCAAAAGTTCCAGAACACGGTCTCATTTTTTTAAGTGATTTTATACGTAGAGTATATTTATAAAATATAAATAATCATCATAATCTCTCTATATAAGAACACTTAAAAAAAAAGGATCTATGTTTTAAGCACCCGATATATTAAGTATTTACCTCTATATAGTCACACTATTTATATTTTACTTATTCATGTGACTATATAGGGCTAACACTATATAGTCACCCTCATTTATAATCACTATTTTTGCCTAGAACAAACAGCGTGATTATAGAGGAGGACGACTGTATTTATTATTAGATGCGATATATTAATTTACTATATAAATCTTTGTTTGTAATTTTATCATTTGATTTGTAATATGCGAGATATAATAATTTTGCATGCAATTTTATTTATATTTTAATTAGATGCGATACATTAATATATTACTTGAAACTTATTTGTTTGTAACTTTATTTGGTGTGATCTACAAATAAGATATAAAAACTATAGGATGCTATCTATAAGCATAGCGCAGAGCACAGAGTATATATTTATTCTAAATAAAATATACAATTTAATTTAAAATAGAATAATTTATATTGAAATGATTTGAAATAATTCAGTAAAGTGTTATTTAAATAAATAAACCGAAATCTATTTGTGAAGTGGAAAAGTGAATAGGATTATTTAAAAAATTAAAATAATTCCAATAAAACTAATAACTAAAAAAAATAAAAATATTATATTATCTTATAAAAATTTCAAAATATTTTATTTCGATATTTTATTAAATATTAAAACACTATTTTTTACAGTAATATTAATTTAATCAAATCAATTCGCAATAGTCTGAATTTTTTAAAATTATTTTGTATAAGTTTATTTTAAAAAAATTATATTACTATATTTAGTATAGAAAAATAATTTTAAATAAATAAATTTGATTTAAATTTTTAAAAATCTTTATTATTTCATATTATTCAATGTTAATTTTGATTAAACAAGATTTAATAAATCGAAAAATTGATAATAGACAAAAATGGAATCTGTACTAAAATTTTACATTGTTGTACAATGATTTTAAAATTTCAATAGTTAGACTTATACTTATTTAGTTTTAGTTATTTTGAATCATTCAATATTATTTATTATTATAAAATTAGTTGAAGTAAATTTTTTTTTTAAAAAAATTTGACAGCTATGTCACATGCCTGCTTTATTAATAAAGTACTATATTTCCTAAAGGATTTGTTCAAATTACATCATGTTTTATAGCAAAAAATCTTAAATGTGGCTCACCCGGTTTCCAATTGAACTAATATACGATCTGCCAAAGATAAGTTTGATCTTACTGGTTAGATTCAGCTTACTTCACTTCAACTTACCTATTCCTGGATCACTGATCTGGTTTACCAGCCCGTCATGACTGCCTTCTTTCCAACCTTCTTCTTCTAGCCTCCTAGGTAAAAGAACTACTAACAGAAAACAAAGAAAAACAAATATGAAACAAAAGGAAAACTAAAAAAGAAGAAAGTTTAAACTAAACAAAACTAAAAAAAAACAAACAAAATAAAACAAAAAGAAAAAGGCTGAAAAAAAGATGGCCATAATGACACTATTATTGCCTGTGTTAGGCTATATAAATTATATAATATTGCATAGAAAAAAAATCTAATCTAATACTATATATACTAAAAAGAAGTAAAAAGAAAAAAAATTTCTAATGTTAAAAAATTTCTACATATGATCTCTCCAATCTCCTATACTATAAACAGTATTGCTATCATTGTTTATTTGGCAAAGTAGAATCCAAATAAGCTCATAGAAAGTTTTATTTCAGTAAATGTATTCTAATTTGGAAGGAGTAAACACTGCCGATCTTTTGGAGAGAGTATGCTGGTTTTCTTACTTTTTGGCCAAAATTTCTAAAAAAATTCCAAAACTGCAGAAATATAATAAAAAAAATATATGATGTTTGTTGAAAACAGGTACTCTAAATTTTTCAAAGAGTGTGTTAAAGAAACTCATTTGTTGTTTCCTTTTTCTTTGTTGCTTCTCGGTTACTTCATCAACAAAAAGACCTTTTTTCCTTCAGGCTCTTATTATTAAAATTTTGTATACAAAAGCACCTGGCTAGTTATCTTGTATTCCAATACTTTTGGCTTGCATACTGAATATGCCAAAGAAGTTCTCAAGACAAAAGTTAACCTTTGCAAGAACTGTCCAATAGTTGTGTTAACTACTTCAACAAAATTTTTGTTTTTATTTGGTGAAAAAATTTGGTACAAGTGATTGTTGAGAAGAGTTTAATTCATAAAATTAGTTAAAGTAAATTTATTTTATAAAATTAACGATAATTTAAAATATTCTTATTAATATTAATTTTAGTTAAATTAAATTTATTTTATAAAATAAATGATAATCTAAAATATTCATATTGTTATTAATTTGAAATTTCAATATGTTCTGAATTAATTCAAATTAATTTAATTTAGCTTTAAACTATTCAAATAAAATTTTATAAAATTAACAATAATCTAAAATATTCATATTGATATTAATTTGAAATTTTAATATATTCTGAATTAATTCAAAATAATTCAAGTTAGCTTTAAACTATTCAAATGTAATTTTTGGATTTATTTTTATTTATTTAATAAATTATTACTAATATATTGAAAATAATATTGATTTTAAGACCTGTGGGCCGATAGCATAGCGGTTATGCTCTCAGGTTGCCAATTGAAAGGTTGCCAGTTCAATTTTTCCCAGCGGCAAAATAATGAAAACCCAAATATGGAAGTGAAACACTGCAGGATACAGAGATACAGGGAACTTGGGACATCTACGGATAGATGTATTTGGGGAATAGTTATTCTGAGAAGTTGTGGTTGTGAAACGAGGCATGTTAGAACCCTGATTTGGAATAACTGAAGTCACGAGACGTAATGTGAGGCTGAGTCTGATGAAGATACTACAAGAACTCATAGTGATACCGGATTGGCTGGTAAAATCCCAGTACAATAGAAAGGTGATTCGACCTCTCCGGAGTGTCATGCAAGTGGTCGGATCTAGGCCTAATGAGGAAACCGGAGAATGTTGGGCAACGAAATTCTAGGTAGATAACACATAATACCCGTATAGTGTTATGAAGGTCCTGTGACACTAAGTAGCGTGCGTACTAAAGTCAACTATATAATAGCTAGAACCAAAGTCACGGTGAGACTTGCCGAAGATGTAAAAAAAAAAAAAAAAAAATATTGATTTTAAATATTAGCAATTCAATTCAAATAAGTATAAAAGATGCATCATTTAAAGATCATTTTCTACTATTGTCTGTTTGTTTTAATTGCTATTTTAGTTAAATTAATATATATAGATATGAATTATTTAAATCTTATTGTATTAAGTCAACAATTATCTCTATAAAAGATAAAAATTTTACTTTATTTTAGTTTATAAACTCCTTACATATTAATTACCTTAGTATAAATAAATGTAAAAACTTATTAAATATAAGTTTATTATAATTCTACGTAACAATCGAATAATGCAAGATAAGCATGTTCGAGAAATTTACTAGGATTCTGAACATCTTTCATATAGGTCATAACTGATCTGCATAAATTTTAGGAGTTTTCGCTACTCTCAAAATCAAGTAAATTCGCTAAAAATTCAATTATGACATATAAATCTTATAGTAATTTGCTAAAAATTCAATTATTACATATATATTTATACAAAAAATAAATTTAAATGTGTTTTTGAATGCTGAAAAAGTTTATTTAGAACAAAAAGTTAGAATAAATTAGTAAAATTTTGAGAATTATAGTATTTTTTAGTATTTTTATTTTATTCTAAATTTATACTTTATTAGAGTGGAACAACATTAACTAAGAAATCAAAACTATGTTAGATAGCTATAGAATTTTTTATATCACAGATTTTTCACGTTATACAAACGGCAATTGAATTCTATTCAAATTTGGATTATATTTAATACTGTAATTACTGTAAGAATATAATATGTTACAAATAAAATACAGTAGCAATATAATACAGCAATAACATAATAATATAATAAATAAAATTTAAATCTAATTTTTGTCAAATAGATTTTTAAATAAAATGTCTGCTCTTTTTTCACATTCAACATCATTGAAATTTTCTTGGTCCAAATTTTGTTTGCACGTAGATTTTAGTTGCTGCTGATGTTTTTCAGTTCTTAGTTTGATTAGATCCATAAAGTTACAACTGATTTCTTTAAGTAGTACAGTTGATAATCGTAATTTTGATTGTTGAAAATTACTTGTCATATTAAGATGAGTTTTGAGGTCTCATTTATTAAAAAGACCTTCTACCTGTTGTTGGTGAATTACAATGTACCAGATTCGGTACTTAACAAATTCAAATAATTTGAGAAACTGGTCTAAAGATTTGTGTATTTCTTGAATAAATTGGTGAAATTCACAATTAAATGTTGGATCTTTTAATGCAATAAATAAACCGAAGTTATTAAAGTCATCATTTTCAATATCTAACTCAATAAATTTCATATAACATAGTTCCCATAATAAAGATACTGATATCCAAGGTGTTTTTAAAATAACATAAGCATAACTTTGTACAAACTCCCTTCCATATTTTTCACCTAAGCAACAAATGCTTAATGGCAAATGCAACTAACAATTTAACCATTTTTAATAAAGCTCTAATGCTTTTTGAGTGCCACACTCAATGTCTAAAGTAAGTTTATTGAGTTGATCATTATCTAGTATATAAGTACTTTTTAAAAGTTCTTTTTCAAAAAATGAGTAAGGATTCTTAATAATATTTTGAAGTTTTACTATTGTACAGATTACAAACTCTGACATTTGATATACATGCCTTCCAGAAGGAAGATTTAATTCTGAGTCATATCCTGTTAAAAATTTAGCTATCGGATGATAAAAGTCTCTTTCAAATCGAACTAGAAACTTAATTTGTAAGTTTAAAATTGGATCATAAAGCCATTTCTATAGTAATTCTCATTTTTTAATATATGACTTTGGTGTATTAGGTTGGGCTTTAAGTTAAGAAAAAACCACTCTGTAAATTTTATATGAATATTTCTGTGTTCAAGATATTGTTCAGCACACAACAATTCATAAAGCCATCTTAATCAAAGTGGCTGTTGATATTTTGTCATACAATATTGAAATCGTTCTTCATACAGTTTGTAAATATAGTCAGAACGAATACTCATTGGTTTATCTTTGTCAGATTTATTATAGCCACTATAAAGATCCCACACTAAATATAAAAGATTTGCAGGATACTCTTTTTGTGAAAATCTACTAATATTAGGCAATTTTCCAAATGCCTTCTCCTCAAAGTTATTCATAATAATATGTGCTACATGAAGTCCACATGGTATTCGAGTTACTTTAGCTTTACTTATTTTGTTGAATAAAGTAATCGCACCACCAGATTTTTCACTCATGTAATTTGTGTTATCTGAAACACATACAAAACATTGATGAGAATTAATTTTAAAATAATTAAAAGTATCATATATTGTCTGAGCTACAGATTTTTCTGTACAAATCACCAAATCTTTTATTTCTAATAGTTGAAAATCAGGTTGATTTGTTTTTGAATTTCAAAATATAATACAGAGAACAAATATTTTTTGCTGACCACATGTTAACTCATCAACCATTATTCCAAGAGTAAAAAAATCAAAGCAATTATTTTTATTTAAAATTTGATTAATATGAATTTCACTAACTTCTTAATTCCATCAAACAACTGATACATGTGAAGTTGGTAAAGTTAAATTTTCTCCAGTTAAAAAACCTAAGATTAACTGTGTAGCTTGAATGGTATTTCTGAATGACATTTGGCCAACTTGTAATACTTGAGTTGCCATGTTTATAAATTGCGTAGTATAATGTCGCTTATTTCATAATAATTGCTTGAATACTTGCATTCAAATTTCATAAATCTGCAAGTTAAAGTTTATGTGCAATAGCACATACTTTTAAAATGTGCTGGCTTTGTTTATGCTTATACTGTAATAAAGTTCCTACTAACTGTCTAATCTTAAAATATTTTTTAGTATTCGAATACTCTAGTTGATCTATTTTTTTCTGTAATGTTTTATTACTCTGAATTAATAAGCTTGGATCTTGAGATAGTTTGTAAAGAGATATCTTTATAAAATTTGAAGCTTTATCTTGCAAAAATGGTGAAAGTAATTTGGTCCTTTAGAATACTGCATGGTGTCAAATAAATAAATAGCAGCTTTTAGTTGATTATTAGGTAATTGTTCAACTATATTAATTAATTTTTGATGAAGCATTATTTGATTTGTTAATCTATTATTAGTTAATTGGCTAGTTGATTGAACAATGCTTTGACTATTTAATCAAACAATACTTTGGCTATTTGATTGAACTATGCTTTGACTATTTGATTGAACAATGCTTTGGTTATTTGAACAAATGATACTTTGGCTATCTTATTGAATAATACTTTGGCTATTTGATTGAGCGATACTTTGGCTATTTAATTGAACAATACTTTGGTAAACTAACTGTAATTCACTGTTATCTATTTGTGTTAATTTTTGATTAATTTCATAAATTTGTTTGTTATAATGAGCAACTTTTCATGCATCTACTAATGCTTTAATTGCTTTATGTATATGGGCTTTTTATTTAGATATCTTTGGCATTTTGCTATTATTGTAATTTAATTGAAATTTGTTAATCAAGTATAAGGCAATCTTTTTCATCATTGTTGAAAATCTTCAGGTTTTAATGTGACTTTATTATAAAAAAGCAGTTCAACTTTATTAGTTTGATTCACTTTTTTCGCTTTAATTACATTTAATACTTCACAAGTCATGTGATAGTGATGATCAATTTGAGAAATAAAGTAAAAGCATAATTAAATAATTGAATCTCTTATATGTTTCTAAATTATGCAATATTATATCACTGATTAATCAAATTTAGCTCTAAATTATTTAATTTTGCTGTCATTATTATTACAATTATCTTAATATTAATTAAAATTTCAAAACAATTCAACTTATTAACAAAAAGTCAAATTACCTTGAAACTTTCATGAATTATTTATAAAATGCTAAAGAATAAAACTATATTTTCAAATTTTTATCAATATATAAATTTTGTATAATTGTTTTATATAATAAGTTGAATTTTGTTAATTTAAATATAAAAAAAAACTCTCGAAACTATAAGTTAAATAAGTTAAACCTTATTTAAAGCTATCGCAAAAAATTAAATATAGAACCTTCGAAATGGTTCTAAAGAACATTTCTCATTCAAAAGAAACTTGAAAAATAAGTACGATACTTGTGTGAATCTTTTAGAATATTGCTCTTTTTTTATAATTAAACAATATAAAAATAAAATTCAATTTATTACGTTAATTTCGCCAATAAAATCTGATCATAGTAAATTGATCATTGTATCTAACATAGTTTTGATTTACATAGTTGATGTTCCACCCTAGTCGACTACCGTAATTCTCGGCACGGGTGTTATTTCGAATTTTGGCCCGAATTGAGATTAATTCGGGTCAAAATTCGAAATAACCCGATTTTCCAAATTCCGCAGGAAAAAATTTTCAGATACCGTATTCCTCCGAAAATAAGCATGCAATTTTTATAACCCAAATTCTCGTGATCTAGTGATTGGATCTATATAATTTTGGTCCATTCGAATCGACTTATCAAAATGATTCGAATGATTCAAATGGTACCAAAATTGATCACGAGAATTTGGGCTATAAAAATTGCTCCGAGGGGGCTTATTTTCGGAGGAATACGGTACAAATTTAGATAAAAAGATTCTGTAATGTAAAGTCATCTATTGCAAAATGCCGGGATTCCGCTCTAATATTCCTAGGATTAATAAAAAAAAAAAACTTTCGACCGTATATTCTTACCAATCCCATAAACTTCTAATGATTTTAAGATTTCTAAGGTTATAAATTTCATATTTTTGATTTGTATACATTATATAAGTTCTAGGGCTTATTGTTTATGCATAACTTTGTTTATTACATAAGCCTTAATGTCGACGACTTTTGGTTATCTATCCTGAAATATGTAAACTTTAATAATAACTTAAAATTCCAGATGTTATCCGCATTGTCTAAGAAACAGTACTAGTTTCAACCACGTTTCTACAGTTTATTACTGTAAGGTGTAAAATTTACAAATCTTTGCATAACAAAAAAAAAACATAATAAAAATGGTAAGTCATATTTAACCAGTTTTAATTTCGCCAAACTCCATATATTTTAAAGATGTCTCATAATAAATATTAATATATCCCATATCTTAGTTTATATTATTTTAATATTACTACGTAACATTTTAATTATTTATACTGTATACGTAGAAATGATAAGAATTTTAGTATTTGTGTTCAGTATCGTAAATATAACAATATTTTCATTTCACTATACGAGTTTAAAAAAAATACCTTTATAAATGCTAAGATTTTATAATTCCATAAATAAAATTTGTATATACTGTATTTTATGTTTAAACTAACTATATATAATTAAAAATTATACGACTTAATTTTGGATCACTGAAAATCCAAAATCCTGGCAGTCTAATAATCTGACAAGCTATAGGAATAACATTTATTCTTATCCATCTATTCAATTCTGTAATTATACTATATATTTGTAAAAGTACTTTTTCATAAAATAGATCATTAAACGTCTCTTATTTAGAAAGGTTACTATAACTTTATTAAAAAATAGAAAAAAACCACATTTGCTACCATGTTAACTTTTTTTAAATAAAAGATAGTTAATGATCTTAGTACATTAAAGTCCCGTAGCTTCAATAAAACCTTTTACACAGTATCCCTTTTGTTATAGTTTGAAAGTAATTTTGAATAGAATTGATAGCCAATTACATACCTAGAGAATCCACAAAATGACTGTTATAGAAATTCCGTAATTTTGGTATATACTTAACTCTTATCGCATTATTACTATTTAATTTATAATTCTGATAAAAAATCTGGCGTTATAATTTTTAAAGAAAGTTATTCGACTATGAATTCATTATTTATTATTTATTATTATTTTTTTTATTAGTCTATAACTAACTTTTTTTTTGTTTTTTTTTTAAACCGCTCCCTTTTTTTACAAATTAATCCATTAAAATTTATACTGAATTTATAATTTGATACAGTAATTAAAATTTCATAATCAACTAACATCGTTTTTTTCATTTTAATAATGATTTTGAACTTCTATCTTATCATCTTGGCTTGCTATACTATTCTTACTGGATCCATCAGATTCTCGTTGTTTCAGTTGTGTCATTGGTATTGATCTCTGCAGTGCCCTTGAATCATTATCATCTTTATTGTGATTTCTCGATGTCGATGATGGTACAGCAACTGCTTGTACTATGAAACTTGGTACTACCGCAACACCTGCAAATGCTTGTGGTTTTTGTGTTTCATTCCCTCCAAAATGTGATCTGAAACGTCCACCACCTCGAAGTACTTTGAAAAATTTAAGTTGTTTTTGCCATCTGGTTACTGCTGATTCATCATCGGAAATAGTAGGTGCTCTTTTTTGCGGCGGAAACACAAATAGCCTATCAATAGGAATTAGACGGATGATTATGCCGACAGGTATTGATAAAAAACCCAATCCAATGCAAGCTAACCATTGAATAATATCCAATGGTACTGTTTGAAATGCATGCTCCCCTCCATATTGAACTATTAAAAATTGACCTATACAAGTTATAAGGAATATGACAACGAAAAGCCTGTTCGACAAAATATTTTTGAATACGTTTAACTTTTCATCAAGGTTTCGACAACTATTATAAATGAAAAGTGTTAAATAAATCAAAAGTTATTTAAGTTATTTAAATTTATTCTTGAAAAAAAAAAAAAAAACGTACTTGATTTCATTAAATATTTGTAACATTACAAATGCATTAAAAACAATTGTATTTAAAGTCTCTTCATTAACACCATGTCCTACTATATCATCAGCAGCATATAATAAAATTAGTGTGATTGCAAGCTGAAAGATACTTTGACCAATAATCATCTTCCACATAAGAGGTGTTATTAGAGGTGCTTCTCGATTTTCGGGTTTACGTTTCAATAATTCTGGAGTTGGTGGATCTGTGGCAAGAGCGAGAGCAGCGAATGTATCCATAATAAGATTCACCCATAGTAATTGTACTGCAGTAAGAACAGATTGCTGTTGATCACTTGATACAGCGGATATGAATGTAAGCATGACTGCAGTAACATTAACTGTAAGTTGAAATTGTAAAAATTTCTTGACCGCATCATTTACACAACGACCCCACATTATCGCCTTTACTATGCTTGAAAAGTTATCATCCATTAAAATGATAGATGAAGCCTCTTTGGCGGCCTCAGTGCCGGAAATACCCATAGAAAACCCAACATCTGCAGTTCTTAGTGCAGGTCCATCATTAGTACCATCGCCAGTTACAGCAACAATATCATTAAGTTCCTGTTTTAATTTTCCAACCAAAAGTTTTTTGTCTTCGGGACTAGATCTTGCAAGAACTTGAAGTTTTGGAAGGATCTCCCTCATTTTATCATCTGATAAATTGCGAAATTCAGGTCCTTCCATCACTGTACCGTCTGTATAAATCCCACATTGCTTTGCAATAGATTTTGCTGTCAAAATATTATCACCAGTAACCATACGAACTTTCACCCCAGCATCTCTACAATCTAAAATAGCTTGTCGAACTCCTTCTCTCAAAGGATCTTCGATACCAACTATACACAATAATGTAATATCTACCATTAAATTCTCAAACTTTACCTCTCCATCAGGATCTAAAACTATTTCACTTGGGGGCCATTGTTCAAAATCACGATATGCAATTGCAAGAGTTCTCAAACTTTGATTAGCATAATATGTTATAATTTGTTGAATTGTGTCTTTTTCTTGATCATTTAATTCTGGTTTATTATCTGATTTAGTATCGATTGTGTACCGTGATTTTTGAAGTAACATCTCACTAGCACCTTTAACATAAAATCTAAAACGAGAATCTTCTTGAACTACAAGACCCATAGCTTTTCGTTCAGAACCGAATGGATAAAATTGTATAATTTTGGCATCTTCTTTTAACTGTTTATAATTTGTTACGTCTAAATCCAAGAGAAGTTGTAATAAAGCAGTTTCTGTTTTTGATCCTACAAAATTTGGTTTTCCATTTTTTGGTTCACCTTCAAAAGCAGTGGTATTTATTGCAATCGATTTATATAAAATTTCTAAAATAGGATCCGGCAAATTTTTTATATCTTCCATAGATGATATATTTTTTTCAAATCCTTTTATATTGCTGCTTTTGAGTGTCGACATATATACATCGGTATTTCTAGTGAACGAATCCGATAATCCAATAGTAGTAACCACAACAGTCATCCTATTTTGTGTTAATGTTCCAGTCTTATCCGAACAAATGGTAGTCGCATTACCCATCGTTTCGCAAGAAGATAGAATACGAACCAGGTTATTATCCTTTAACATACGTGTTGTTGCATAAGCAAGAGCTATAAATACATTTACAAATGTCAGGTGTTTAATGAATATTTAATAATTGTATGAAAAAAAATTAAGACAAACCAAGTGTTACAGCCAGAGGTAAGCCTTCAGGTACAGCAACGACTACAACAGTGACCGCTGAAATAACTATCATTACCAAACTACTAATTGCACTTGCAGCTGTTGGTACACCATTAACGAACGAAATAAAATATTTAATCAAGAGGACAATGAGCATCAACAAAGCAGCAGCACCTCCTAATTTGGCAATTTGTTCAGCAAGGTCGTTCAACTTGACTTGAAGTGGCGTATCCTCATTATTGACCCTTAAAGCTTAAATAACGAAATAAATAAGTAACAAAAAAAGATATTAAAGAAATTCGCATCAAAAAAAATTAATTCCTACAGATCCAAGTTTTTCCTCTACATGAGTTTATTCCAACTCCAGTAACAACATAAGTACCAATACCCTCCAATACTCTGCTCCCACTTATTATGAAAGGATCAAGTTTAGAACTACGAGAGTCAGAGTCAGAAAATCTTTTTACACAATCGTCATATGTAAACTTTCTTATAGAGTCACTTTCACCAGTTTCATCAGATTGATCACAGTAAATATTATAACCAGAAATCAAAATTCCGTCAGCAGGAATAACATCACCAGGTTCTAATTGAAGAATATCACCGACCAAGACATCATGAATAGATATAAGAGAAGGTTTACCATCTCTCATAACTTTAACTTCACGATCTTCTTTTTTTGCATTTAAACTTCGAAATTGCCTTTCCTTTTGCCAATCATTCACACTTCCAACTAATACTACAATTAAAATTGCAATAATAATCGCAACACCTTCGATCCACCTAACTTTAATGGAGGAACTTTCACTAAAATCTTCATAAAGACCAAGACCCAATGAGATAATAGCAGCAATAGTCAGAAGGATTAAAACTTTATCTTGCATGGCCAACCACATAAATTCAAAAATGGATTTAGATTTAGTTTCTGGTAAAACATTTTTACCAAATAATCTTATTCTATCAGAGAATAGTGTATTGTCCGGTGGATTTGGAAAATGTGTATTAGTTTCATTATCATCCGGTATTTTATCTAAAATATCTTTATAATCATCAGGTATATTTGTAAACTTTTCTAATTGAGGTAAAAGTTTAGATTCTTCAGTTGTATTCAAACCATTAGTTCGATGAGTACGTAAACCCTCTATAATTCCATCAAGACCTCCTATAGATTTTAATAATTCAAAATCTCTATGATTCATCATTTTCCAAAGATGAATAGAAGTATAAGCAAAAGGACCAGTATTAATGGAATAAGTAGATTTATCATTACGCGCCATTTTTTGTTTATCGGATGAGACACTCATTTCTTCTAATTCTACTTTTGTAGAAACCGAAGAACATAAAGTGAGATCAGATTTGTTCACGTTAGAAAGTGATAGAAGGTTAGTTTGAGTTTCCGGGGTGTCTGTGTTCCCGCCCACCTCTCCCTGAGAGCTTTCAATTACTATAATAGGGATATTTGTTGGCGTTTTATCCAAGCCTTCTTCATGGTCGTGAACAGGCATGTTTTTTTTTTCCAATATTACAATATTATGATGTAGTATGAGTAGTGTGAAAACACATCTATATAATCAAAACAAACAAATAAAATAATAATACTAACAACTAAGAAAAAAAAAAGAGCGACCCCCTTTAAGAAAATATGTAAGGTGAAAGTCTTTACGACTCTTGAAAATAACTAAAAATATAAATGTCACACCACAAATATTTCTCAAGAATATTCTATCGTGTTTTTACTGGTCAGAGTGGTACTTGTTTGTGGCGAAGGGGGTTTTATTATTCTAAAGAACTATAGACTATAAGGTAAAGACGAGAGGCTATGAATAGAAAGTCATAAAAACGCAATATACATTTGAAAAGAGGCTAAGAATTATTGATGTGTAATAAAAAATGAAAAATGAAAATTTTATTACGTACCCGGAAATTTTGATCGTCAATGCTTATCGCATGCGTACTCTGTACAGTACATAAGTATATACTTTTATATATAAAGTCACATGATAATACGTTATACAGTAATAAACAAATAAACAAATAATCAAATAATCGGGATAATAACTTGATTATATCAATAATAATATATATATCTGTATATTATATATTATATTGATATAGTCGAGGTTTTAAAAATAAAAAAAATAGAACGTTGTTTAGCCTTTTTACTTTGTTTTAAGAATCTATTCATGAAGATAAAAGTAAATAATCAAAAAAAAATAATGCCAAAAACATTTTTGGTTAGCTTTTTGTTAACGTATTGCTTTATTACGTACAAAGGGGAAATTGCATATATGATGTTACGTTATTAATCACCAAATTAGGTCACTATTAATTAATAAAGAACCAGTAATAGAAACGATATTAAATGTGATGTACAGTTTTAAAATACAGAAATAACCGCCATGTGGTGTAGTATTTTAAGATTACAGCGCATTATTTATTTTATTTATTATTATTTATTATATATTATACGATTACGTATGTATTATGTATGCAACAATACGTAGCTTGAATTCGGAATGAATTCCGGGTTTTAGAAATCTTTGTATTAATGACCTTACTTGTATAACAAATATAATTTTTTATATTATCGGTACGTAAAGAAGTTTGATCTGATTAGATTTTAATAAATTAATGAAAGCTATAGCGGGTGGATGAGAAGTCCCTGAATAGGGGCCTTCTTGTTAATCGCTAAATAATGCATTTTGGTTATCATTTAGTTCTTTATATATATATCGTCACAAAAAAAAATTATTATAAGCGGAGATAGTAAAAAAGGTCACTTTTCACCCACCCGGGTATAGATTTAAAGGCCCTTTTTTTTTATAAACTATAAGAAAGATATACTGTATAAATTAAATGTCAATTATATGTAATGTACAGAACAGTATATCAGATACTGTATGATAATGACATGTGTATTAAAAACCTTTTAAAATACATAGCTACATTTGCTTATAGATATCACTATATAATAATAAAATTGTTAATAAAAACATTTGTATTAATATTTATATAAGTAGTATTAGAAATTTTGATCAAGAATTCAACAAGAAAGCTTTATTTTATTTACAGTACATAAAATTATTGTTAGCCCTTTTATCAGAATTAATAATAATATAATTGACTAGAACACTTTGAAATAACGATGTAAATATCAGACTATAAAATTGTAGCATATTTTATTAAAAATTTTCTATGATATCATTGATAAATGATTTCTTTAAATATTGAATCTTTCGTCAAATATCTCTGTTTCACTCTTTTACTTTATTTCTACAACGAAAATGTGTGATAAAGAAAAAAAACTTGAAATCATTGACCTTGACCATGATGTTATCATGATCGATGATGTTGATGTGGTATATAGAATATTTGAAGAATCAATCATACATTTTTAATTCTCTTCAAATAATAATAATAATAATAATATATATATATATATATTGTTTGTGTATGGGTCGAACAGAAGCCGCCTAAAATATCTAATTTATCGTCTATCGTAGAAGAATCTCCTATCTGGATTAAGGTAAATACTAATCTAAACAACGATGTAATTAGTGTGCAATAATTGTGAAAAATGCATCTTTGAACCATTCATTATATATTAAAAAAAAGAACGAAGATGATGAAAAAAAAATTAAACCTCCATTAAGTCCTACTCCACGTCATACTCCACGTCATACTCCACGTCATACTCCACGTCGTACTCCATGTAGACGTCGCCGCACTCCATGTCGGGCCGTCGGTCCTCCTGTAAACTTAAGCCGGTGGACGAGGGAGGAAGACCACGCGCTATTTACTTCAATACAGAAGAATGGTGGGAAATGGACCGCAATTAGTCGTGAGATTGGTACTGGGAGAAACCCGCAACAATGTTCCCGACGTTGGGATACTATTGTTCGATGTTCGCTAAGGAGAGTCGCACTTTATTAATGATTACAAATGTCTGTAAAATAATAAAGTCTATTCTTTGTTTGCCTTTGTCTTAATACATTGGCGCGTCTTAATTCTAATTCGTACGTACACGAATAAAGATATAATAGAACTACTATTACTATACTAGACTAATAAAACTAAAACTAAAACTAATCGCGTCTTTAATACAGAATATCTAATTACAGTTTAGGGTTAAAAATCAGACGACGTGATGCTAAATCGTCACATGGGAATAAATAATAACATGGGACATATTGCTAATTATCTTCATGTAATTATTTTCCGTGCCCATGTTGATGATTTTCCATGTCCCTACAGTTCTGTATAGCACAACAATTGCTTACAAACTTTTCTATATTTAATACCAATGTTCAGACAAGGAATCTATTACAATAGTTATTAGTTATAAATTGTTCTTTTTTAAAAAAATTATCTTTATTACGTTTTTTTTATTACAGTATTTAGCCAAAATAATTCTTGCTTTTACATGAAACAAGTCCGGAAACTGCCGGTTATTAAAACCAAAAAAAGTTAAAATAGGATGAATTCCCAATTTTATATATGACATAATAACATTTTGGTCTGGATTCAAATAATTACCCACATAGCATATCACTAAATTTTTTGGTTTACCATCGCTATGTAATCTTTAAAATTCGTATCACATGCCTGATACCAGATACGTACGTTCCTACCTATATACGTACCTATTATACCTATGCACAAAATAGACAAATTAAAGGAAATAATCGTTAATTAACTCATTGTTTCATCATCTCTAACGTTTTCATGCGAGTAGGTTTCTCCGTGTCGTCAATGTGAATTCATATTCGCTGGACGGCGTATACTTTATGTAACTATATAAGTTATGGTGATCATACTATTCATAGTTAATAATATTTATATTTGATAGTCCGGTAAAATTCACCTTATACTATTATAAGCACAATTACGAATCCCAATTTTGTTTCATTTGGGAATTAAAGTAAACCTGGAAACCTTCTTTATAAAGACTAGTCTGTGAAGGTTTCCCGGTTTTCATATGTCGACACAAATATATAATGAAACTCCTTACGTATAAATTATTAAGTTTATATCTACATATCGATCAATAGAGTTTACCTGGTTTCCCAAATAATAATAATTTCTTGCTGACTTTCATGAACTTTCTTATTTGGATTTCTACTCTGGAAATCTTTATTCGAACTTTCCATTCGAATTTCCATTCAGAAAATTCCTCAGCACTATTTTTACTTATTACAGCATTATTACCTCTTTTACGTAGACGTAGATCAATCAACAGCTCATTTTGTGAATCGTATGATAAGTAAAAAATCGTATAGTAAAAATAATTATCATGGAAAATCTTGTTGGATAAACATTCAAGTTTATTCTTGGTGATATTCATATGTAACTATGCTTGTCTATCGTGAAAATTCACTAAAATGATGATCATCTGAAGCTAGTATCCACTTATTTGCGCGAGTAATACAAACTTCTAAAAAGGAAATGGTCAATCAGAGAATACAAATTTCGGCCATTTCGACATAGAATCCGAACACGTGCGAAAGAAAAAAAGAAATTACTCAAAAAACTAATGTTTAAATCGACCTTTGTGGACTAAGAAACTCCAACTTATTACTAAAGCTCACGACCCTAACGTCCTAATCCTAAATTTCTATTTTTACGCACTTAATTTATTTACAAAATATGATTTCCTTTTTTTGGTTTGTGTTACCCGCGCAAATAAGTAAATCGGTCTAAAATTATTGTTGTCCGGGGACTTTATATGTTTATGTAAGGTGATACAAAAGTTACATTTTTGATGCATCAATAATAGTAATATCAAAAATGTAACTTCCGTATTTGGTAGAGGTCCAATCTGGATAGCGTTTATCCGAATAATTATCAGATATCCGAATAAAGTTCGGATCGGATACTCGAATAACAGATCTGTTTACTATTGATATTCGAATAATTATCCGAATATCAGTCGGATTATCCGGATATCGGATCTGTTTATCCGATCTGAATTATAATAATTCAGATACGGATAAACGGATGACGGATTTATCCGGATTGGATCTCTACTCTATAGGTATTTTTTAAAAATCTATATTAAGAATGTTGAAAAAAAAATCTGTTTTTTTTTTTTTATTACATATGTTAATTTTCAATAATAAAGAGCGGAGCGTTATTAAAATCATCACAAAAATTGGAAATTAAATTTAACAATATAAATGATACAATAACTGATTTTTATTTGGCGTTATTCATTGGATTACATAATATATGTGGAATTCTATTGGTTGTTAAGCGCCAAATTGTGTACTAATTTTATCTACAGTATCATCTTAATTGTTACAGTAAATACAAAAGAAAGGAAAAAAAAATAAAGTGTAAAAAAAAATAAAAAATAAAAACTAATAAATAAATAAAATAAATAAATAAAAAAATAAATAATAAATAAATAACAATAAATAATAAACTAATTTAAATAAATTTTTAAATAATTGTTATTTATTTATATTACGGAGTAGAGATTGTATCCGGGTAGACATTTTTATTATATGACTGTCCCGGATAACCGGGTAATTTAATAATACCCGGGTACAATCTCTATTACGGAGTTAATTCAGTAAATTAGCCAGGGTAGGTGCTTTTGTAGAACTCGATCTAGGCCCTCGCTTTTTAGATGGTTTTTCATAGATGCAAACATTGTTGCGTCGACAACAGTTAGCGCATCTTGCTTCTCCAGTACACTTTTCTTTCTTTTTCCTGCAATTTGTACATGCAACTTTTGTATAGTTACGATTTGTTTTTATTGCAGATTCAGGTGATGTCGGGTCATATTGTATAGGGTTAGGAAGAATGCGTACTAAATCCATATTATTTTGTTTTAACTTATAAAAAATATATATATAATTTAAAAAAATAATGGTTTTTTTTTCTTTTTCAAAAAAGATTTTTGATTTTTTTGATTTTTCAAAAATAATGAAAACTTGTTACTGTGGTATTCGATTTATAAGTTAATATTTGGTTTGTTTATAAATTTGGAAGTTAATCATGATTCCAATTAAGGAATCATGTATTCTATATATATAAAGTATTATTACCAGAATAACAAACTGCATGATTCCTTAATTGGAATCGTCTAAATTTATAAACAAAAAAAATATTCTTATTTTAATTTGATGTGAACTATTGATTTTGAAATCAAATACTATTTAATCATTTTCTTGAGCATTCGCAACGCATGGAAAAATTAATCATTTTTTCAAGGTCTCCACAATATCCAACATATATAATCTCCCTCCGCCATAAATAATCTCCAGACGTAACAAATCAACTATATTCTTTAGCAAAAACTTGGCTCGTAAAATTCATAATTACTCAGAATGATAGAGAATCAAAAGTAGAACAGATTCCCTGTAAAGAATTTTACATGTCATTCGCACGTCTACAAAATATTATTAAAGATAAATCAGTCGAAAATCATTTCAATTATTCGTCATCTAATAGTAATAAATCTGCAACCCCAAATAATACTTGTATAAATTATCATAAAGGATACAAGTCAATAGAAGGTTTAGTTGAATGTATGATTTCAATACTTTATCACGCTTCAAGAGATTCACCAACTACGCCACCAGAGAATTGTATTCAGGACATTTACCATCTTTACGAGATCAATAAAGATGTCCCTATGCTTTCATATGATCTTTTAGATCCAATGCAAGTTCAAGCTATTTATAAAGAAATGATAAATGTAGTGGATGATTTGGTACAATCAATCCATGGAAATAAAAAACATCTGAAAACAAAATTAGTATATTATTTAAAAAGTTATGATCAAATTTTGAATTCGAAAAAAAGAAAATGTGGAATTCAAATGGTATGTTAACTCATCATGTTTGAAGAACTTAAAGTAATCGGTCAAGTAAAGAGACTTAAAAATAAGCATGATCTTTAAACAATAAACTATTCCCATTAGCGTTAGTACAAATACTTTAGCAATTGACTTATAATACATATATGTTCTTTTTTTTAGTAGAAAGGACTGGTATTTTGATTTTTGAAATTTTATTACTTTTCCGAAATAAACCAATAAGCTCTTAGTAGAATCACTTTATAAATTAGATTATACAGTCAACCTTTCATGAATGCGCCTCCTTGGAAATATAGATGAGATTTAAATTGTGCATGCATTATGGAAGATTGACTGTAATTCATAACACGCGTTCTTTGTAGACATTGCATTGTTTTTCACAATGCCATTTTAAAACAATTTTACATTATTATACTGTATTTTTTGGATTTTTTGACATACTATATTTTTTACTTATTCTTGTTTTCTATACATTATTAATTAACCGGTATTGTCATCCTTTAAACTGTAATAAATATTAACCCAGAATTTTAATTGTTTGGTATTCAAACCCTATACGAAACAGAAGTAAACGTTTAAGCGTACAAAACAAAAAAAGACGCGTACAGTAATATTTACAGTAAAAAAACAAAAATAAAAATAGGAAACAATAAAATCTCAAGTTCAAAATGTTAAATGCAAATCGCTTACGTATCTCAAACCATCATGTGAAACTGCCACATTAAAATCCTAAGCTTATATCACAAATGAAAAGTGTATAAGTGCACTTTCTTATTCTAATAACACTCCATGTAAATTCCTGCAGCGATTCTATTAGTTAATCAGCTGCTCCTTAAAATCCTAAACTTCTATCATAATGAAAAATGTATGTGTACCTTTTTTTTAAAAAAAAAAAAACTTTTAAGGAGGGACGTAATTTGTATATATCTGATATGTACTTTTCTTTTTTTTAAATAGTGTTCTGCATAGTCCGATTTTTTTAAAGAAGAGGCTCGAAGACTCAATTCTAAAATTATGAAACCGAACCAGACCCTAACGAATCGGTCCAGGGTTGATGTTTCATCATTTTTCTCAAGAAGATTTAAATGAGAGGAAAAAATTTTTTGATAAAATTGGAGAAACATCTCAATTAAATACAGATGTTAAGCTGAAAGAGGATTCAGATAATTCATTGGCTTTAGTTAGTATGACGAACAGAGCACATATTTTTTTTTAGAAAGCATTACTGTTCAAAATTTATTAATGTGAAAATTTAGTAAAATATCAGCCAAACTAATGTTCAAACCTGACCGTCAAATTGCTAGTTATCAACCCCTAAGGAAAATATTTTATACAAAGAAAACCAATGATACGCACGCAACGATAGTCGTGGCAACAGTGGCATTAACCTCTGCAGTTGCCATGCTACTGGAATTATACTTTCCAATTCCTTTAGATATAGGTACACTTGGTCTAGGATTATGGTCCAATTTGTATTGGTGTAAAGGATCCATAATTTTGAATAGCCAGGGATGCACCACAAACATATGATAAAGGAAATTGTCCGAAATTTTTTATATTACTTTCTAATGATACAAGTAACTTAAGATTGATTGACCAGATGACAAAAGCGAGAATCGGATTCATTCTGCAGCAGGATACAGGCACGAAAGTAGTGAAAAGATTCGAAATTTTTTTTTCGTTTTCCGGGAACATACCGTATAGGCGCGTAATAACGCACATGGACGTTATTTCGAAATTTCAATTTTTTTTAAAAATGCCATATTTGACTCAAAATAACGCTCATGCGCGTCTCAAATAACGCGCCCCTCCATATGTACCAGATTATCATTCAAGAAAGTAGTTGAAATTTTTTCAAAATTAGCACAATTGATTCGAATTATCGCGTATGCGCATCCCGAAATAACGCGTCTCTGCGCGTTATTACGCGCCTATACGGTAAGTTATTAAATTTATGTTCCCAAAAATTTTTAATGTTCCTATAATAAAAATAATAAATATTATCTCTCTCTCTCTTTCTCTATAGGAACATAAGTTATAACTTTAGCACTATACAAAAGAGGCGTGTTAGATTTGGCGAGTGGTTGAACGAACGAATGTAGTTTATAATAAATATGTGTGACTTAGATACTTTATTATTTAGGTGAATCGGGTGCTAGTTATTCTCCCAAAGGGCTATAAAGTCTTTATTTATAATTATTTACTATCTAGTATTACATGATACTATAATTATTATTATTCTCAATTTTTTTTTCTTTTCTCTCAATTGGATCTATTCGCCGAGTCTGGTGAATCTGCCAAATGAATTCCTCAAATTCGGCTGATAAACCAAAATTTATAATTCACTGAATAACATGCCAGACACCAGGTCATGTTTCTGATTTCACAATATTATTCGTCCTAAAAATATATTAATTCACTTTTGAACCACAGTTTTATATCAACAGTATTGCCTATCTATTAAATTTGATAAGTGAAGTATCATGCAGTGAAAAAATAGAAAGAACACAGGAAGAGTTTAGTGCTATGGGAGAAATCGGTTTGCAGGTGTCTTAAATAAAGAGCTTATAAAAGAAGCTAAAGCATTAGATGACCAAGTTCGCACATTAAAAAAGAATGATCTGAATAGCATTACTAATTGTTTTATTTATAAAATTATGTCTTAAAACACATGGTAATTTAACAAAATAATGTATAAAAGATATCATGAATCAATATTTGAGGAACTATGCATTATCATAAATAGAGATGGGCAAATCGCGGTTTCTTCAAAAATCCCACACGTCACGCGCGGATTACGCGCATGATGCGCATCCCACGCGGGGTAGAATCACAAATCTGCGGGTTTCCTAATTTCTTGTGTCCGATAAAAAATCACCAAAAATTATTATTGAAAATCAAAATATTTTGTTCTTCCGAAAATTATTTCGAATTCGGCCCGAATTAAGCTTGATTCGGAATAAAATTCGAAATAATGCGCCCACTATTTCGAGAATTTACGATAAATATATCAATGCAGGCCGGATATTATGTTAATGCCAGGCAGATGATATAGTAATGCTGGCCAGATAATTTTATTTGGGATCATATTAAAAATCCCGCGCATCACGCGCAGAATCACACGCGGGTGCCCATCTCTAATCATAAGTATTAACACAGCAATCTTTGACATATTAAGTACTTACAAGAAAGCCAAGAGCTATTAGTACTATTAAAGGGATTTGAAAGTTATTTAGTAATCACCAATTTGTTGACTCTAGAGTTGCAGGTGAAACTAATTAATTTCACCAGGAAACTGGTGCACCGTTGAAGATTAGTTTCATCTATAACTCTAGTTACACCAGTTTCACCTGGTGCACTATTGAAGATTAGTTTCATCTGCAACTCTAGTATGAACCACACCACCCCGAAGTACATCGTTAACCCTAATTCCTTCTATTGCATATGTTATATAACTAGTTGTATTTTATAGGTCGAACTTAAATGCATTTGAATAGCAATTGAAAGTAAAAAATTTAAACTTTGCTTTATTAAATTTGTATAATACATTACATAAAATATTGTTGGGATATTTAATATTTTGGACGAAACAAAAAAAAACCATATTTTATAAAAAATTATAAGAATCTGACTTGAAATTAATAATTTTGTTTGATCAAATTTCTTTTAACACCAACTAATCGACGAACCGAGGTAAACCGTTGACCAGTAAAAAAAAAATAAAAATAAAAATAAAGGGTTGGACACTTAATTGGTTTGTAAACTGATTAAAATAGTGTTCCTCTAATTGATAAAGTGTAAAGTAATTGAAATAATCTAGGATATTACACTTAATTGAAAGAACGTTCGCAGTATTTTATAACTGTGGCCATGATGAGCTTTCAATTCTCACAATTTTAAACCTAACAGTAACATATAAAAGGACATTATATAGTATCCGTTCAATAAATATCTGAGCGGTTTTTTAGAAGACCGGTGTCGTAACCAACCAATTAACTTGTTACGTCCATAAAAATTCGTTCTGGTTGTTTTAACCCAATTCACCTTTTCAAATTGTCACCGGAGTTCCAAAAGGTTCTATATAAAAATCGAAATCGCTATGTAAAGTCACTTAAAAAAACAAAAACAAAAATACTTTTAAAACTCCCGGCATAATAATACCTTTTAAATTAATTTATCTATTAATTGGACCGCAGATAGATTCAATATCAAAACGTCATAACGCGTAACAAGTATTAAACAAAAAACAACGGGTATTGGCTAAATAAAGGCATAAAAACGTCATAGCGAGTGTTAAATAAAAAGCATAAATAAAAATATCATAAAAGGTGAAAAATAAATACCACTTTTATTTTCTTTATATTCAGTTCCACGTAATTAACGACGGACCAGAACGACAGGAACGACGATACCAAAAAGAACGACGCCACAATAACTACGAAATCCCGTTACGCCAACAGGAACGACGTCGACATCAAAATGACGGACCAGAACGACGGCACAAGTAACCACGACACCGGTAATTTAGCATCTCAATCATATAAATTTATAATAAATGGTTTCCAGGGATTTCACAAAGTTTGTGTAGTCATTTTGGAAATAAAGTAAATCAAGCGCGTACGTACGTGCGATCTCTGGTATATGTCAGAAAAAATGTGGTGCTTGATCCATTTTAATGAAAGATAAAAATTAAGTTTTTGGTCAAAAAGAAAATTGAAAAAATATAACAGTGAAAATTATAATGAAACAATAAGACGACAAAAAAAAGCAGTCTTTATATATACAGTACCGGATAGCAAAAATTTTTAAAAGCGTCAAATTTTGAATTATATAATGATTCTGATTGGTTAAAAATATATACAACCAATTTTTTTTTATATATTAAACGCCAAATTTTTGTTACATATAAACTTTAAGCTCTAATAACCTTTTAATATTATAAGAAAAGTAAAATTCTACAAAATTATAGTTTATTTGTTTCTGAGTTATAGGCAATTTATATTTTATATGCTATACTGTATATAAAAAGTGATGTTTTTTGCTCTGCAAAACACGTTCAATGCAGCTAATTAGTAAAAAACGCGTTCTAAGCCAAGATTAGATCATGGGAATGCAAATCAGTAATACTCACATTATCTTATTTTGACTGATTATCATTATCTCATTGCAATAATACTCCGGGTCAGGGACGATGATTTTCTGCGGTGGTTAAGACTAAATTCTGCGTGTGGTTAAGACAAATTCTGTGATTTAATGTGATAAAAATTTTTGCCTAATTATGTGGCAATTTTTATAATTTCTTTGCAATTCTGCGGAACTATATTGTAATTTCTGTGATTTAATGCGATTATAAATTTTTCCAAAACAAATAATTCCGTAATTCACCGGTGAACACGCTCGTAATTTTCATTGATTTATTGTCTATCTTTACGGGATTTCCCGACGCTGGCTTGTCAAATCCTGCGATATATTATGAATTCTGTGATATTCTGCGAATTTTTTTGAAATTCTGTGATATTCTGCGGTGATTAAGGGTGATTTCTGTGGTTGGTGAATCACAGAAAATCATCGTCCCTGCTCCGGGTACGTACTACCGTACTATTCAATAGCAGCACGAAGTGAGAAAGGTTATGAGTGCAAAAAAAAAATTTCAGGGTAAAGAGGATAAAGCATGATTTTATTGGTTGATCAACAAGAATTTTGATTGGCTAAAATCAAAGATCAACTTCACGTTACTCCCTGTACTCCTTGGTTGCAATTTTTGTAAAATCGGTTATTATCTTTGCTTTCAATACGTTTTATAACTTGCTCAAGAATGGACAAGTGGAAATGAGGATGTATATTGAAGAATTTCAACTTAAAGTCACATCTTATGATTATGTAATCGAATGATAAACTTTTTGCAAAACAGCTATCGCTATGGATTTATCATATAAATGATATAATTGGCTGCTGATTTTATCACCTAGAGAAGAGGGCCACTTATAAGAAATTACGTAATAAACGGCACACCTTATCAATAATTTTTTCTTGTCCAAGGAATAATGATACAGCTATGATGAAATATGAGCAAATTGTGACCGATATAACAGATTACACTTGGTGTTAATCACCATACAAGGAAACGCACCCAGTATCGCCACCACGATCAGTTACATAATCGCTTTTTAAATTTCAATCTGAGCACAAGAATAACAGAATCACGAGATTTTTGAAGAAATTATTGAAGTTTTTTTATATTTTATTCAACATATTAGAATTTATTTAATTTAATTATCCAAATTCTAAGTCAAAATACATTCGATTCGAATGTACAAATGCATTTACATCCAGATTCAAATTTTATTTAATACACGTATAAAGCTTCAAATTTTATTTAATACATGCATAAAG